TCCACAGTGGACACAAAACTTAAGTCCACAGAATAGTGTTCAGTATATTTATATAGAGAAGAATTAAAGTTTTTGAACCTATATTTATAAGCCTTTTATAAAAGATTTTAGAGTGTTTCTACATAGTGCAAATGAATGATTAAAAAACTCCCCCATATACTACAGTTACGTTAAAAACATAAAAACTCAACATATATAAGAATCCCTGAGAACTAGGGATGTGCCCAAATCTGAATACCATGTTCAGAAAGGAAATTACACATTCTATAGAGCCCCTAAAGGGACATGGTGATTTATTGAATTATTGAAAACATTTTTAAATGCACGCTTGTTTTTCCTTTCATTTTCCAATTTGCAATTACGTGCACTCTGTGTGTATAGAGGGTATGCAATGACTGGGAATGAGTGGCAAAACATCCTGCAATGTAAATGGCTTTAGTAGGGCAAACTGTGAAAACAGGAGTAAAACAAACAATTATCTGCTTCACTTAAAGGCAGGTGGAGTCGACAGTGGTCTTTACAAATGACAAAAGAACCAGTTGTCCATGGACATTGACATGTGGCCAGGAATCTAGTTTCCTGACATTTATAGCCTATACATAAGTACATAATGCAAAGCCTGTGAACGTTTTATCTGCTAGAAAACACTATAAATGCAATTTAGCTAGATGATCGCTAATATAATTGTTATATATCATCATAACCATGGTCATAACACCCAGCCCTAAAATTAAAAGTGATGAGGACATCAATAGATATTCGGGTATCCATCTATCCATCAATCCATCTATCTATCTATCTATCTAACCTTACCAATCCTTCTGAAGAACAAAAGGCTCATCATAATGGATGTTTTTATTAAATAAATGACAAAAGCTTTACAGTCATGCATAATATCAAATAGTAAATATTTAATTTATCAGTTGTAAATACAATATATAACCTAGGGTATGATTTTAGGCGGTACTGATTTTACAAGATATTTGTCAGTGACACTCAGGACCTGTTACGCACCAAATCCTTCGACATCGTCCTGTCAGTCTTCTCTCCTTACTATCTTCAAGTGATAAGTGAAATTTGATGTACTGTAATGTGACTGACTACTGTACCACGGCAAGACTAACCATGTCCCTTTAGGGACTCCGTAGAATGTGTTATTCATTATCCATGTCTTTCTGAATTCATAATTAGGCTTTGGGCAACCCCATCTGAGAACCTACAGCAGTGCAGTTTTTAATAATTATTAAAACATTTGCATATATTTCAGGATTAAAGAGAAAATGTGTGCAATTGTCATAATTCTGCCCAATTTAATCGATTTTACAAGCAGAATTTTGGGACAAACAAACATAATGTATGAAAAATGTATTAAAAACAAACAAATGATTTGTTTGCACTTGCATGTTTGATCTGTTATCGTACGCCTTCACTCACACACATCACCAACACATCTCTTCTCACAGGCATTTTTCCCACTGCATTCAAGCAGGCTCGTGTAACGCCACTGCTTAAAAAACGACACTAGACAGCTCACTTGTTGAAAGCTATAGGCTTGTGTCTCTCCACTCTTTCATAGCAAAATCACTTGAACAAAGTGTTCAACCAAAAGCCTTCCTTCCTCTCATAGCACAACAAGCTAGACAATACACAATCAACATCAATCTGGATTTAAAAGTGGCCATTCAACTGAAACAGTCACTGAATCACTGCAGAGTGCAAGAGCTGAGTCCAAATCTTCAGTTCTCATTCTGCTAGATCTATCTGCTGCATTCAACACTGTTAATCATCAAACCCTTCTGTCCACCCTCTCATCGCTGGGCATCACCGGAACTGCATTCCACTGGTTTGAGTCTTACTTCACAGGTAGGTCATTCAGGGTGGCTTGGAGAGGAGAGGTATCCAAATCACATCAACTGGTCACTGGTGTTCCTCAGGGATCAGTCCTTGGACCGGTCCTCTTCTCTATATACACTACATCACTGGGGTTCCTCAGGGATCAGTCCTTGGACCGCTCCTCTTCTCTATATACACTACATCACTGGGACCCATCATTCAGGCACATGATTTTTCCTACCATTGCTATGCTGATGACACACAGCTCTACCTCTCATTTCAACCAGATTATCCAACGGTACCTGCATGGATCTTAGACTGCCTGACGGACATCTCGGCATGGATGAAAGAACATCACTTGCAGCTAACCTTTAAAGATCATATTGCAAAAACAGCACGATCATGCAGGTTAGCACTACACAACATCAGGAAGATCAGGCCCTTCCTAAAAGAACATGTGACCCAGCTTCTTGTCCAGGCCCTTGTAATTTCTAAGCTGGACTATTGCAATGCTCTTCTCGCTGGACTTCCATCATGTGCAATCAGACCTCAGCAAATGATTAAGAATGCAGCAGCACATCTTGTTTTCAATGAGCCCAAGAGAGCCCATGTTACATCGCTTCTCATCTCTCTGCACTGGCTTCCAGTCGCAGCTCGCATCAAGTTCAAGACATTGGTGCTCCTACTTCCACTCACTCTTACGAGTCTACATCCCCTCCAGAAGCCTGCAGTCGGTCTTGTGGTCCCATCACAGAGAGGCTCAAAATCACTCTCAAGGACGTTTTCTTTCATTGTTCCCTGCTGGTGGAATGACCTATCTAACTCCATCCAGACAGCCGAATCCCTCACACTTGTCAAGAAACAACTGAAAACTAATTTTTTCCGTGAGCATCTAACTACATCCTCCTATTAAAAATAAATAAATAAATAAAATAAAGATTCTCTTTGCTTTCACTTTTTCTATGCTCTCATTATCCCTTACTTAATTCCTTCCTGTCCTAGCTTTTACTATTTTGAACGATGACTGAAACCTTGTATAATGGGCACTTCTCGTGTTTATTGCCATCCTATGATGAATCGCTTGTTGTATTCCTCAATTGTAAGTTACTTTGGATAAAAGTGTCTGCCAAATTAATAAATGTAAATGTAAATTTGTGTATTTCGAAATATTTCAAGTGTCAAAACACACACAGATGATTCGTATGAAACATCAGTATTCTGTATTTTAAGCTAATGAAATATGAGCAGATGTACTTTAAACTGCACATCTTTACCAAAATGAAAATACAAAGTAGGTGAAAATATGGGCTTTATTGTTGTTCTCAATTGTAATTAATGTGAAACTACAGGACACTCAGACCCAATAAAAAATTGCAATCAATTAAATACAATGTAATATTAATTTCATATAAATATAGCATTTTTAATATTTTTATTAAAATATTCAAAAATAATTAAAAAAAATAACAGATTGGCAAGTATGGGGGAAAATGACTGAACCTTTTGAAAGAAAAAAAACTGTAGCATCTAAAATAACTGGTTTTATTCAAGTTATTCAAAGTTTTTATGGGTTAATTAAGGTAGAAATAGCTCTTTAAGGTAATAATTATAGGTTATCACTTTTTACAGTGTACCTATGTCCCTCACAGACTCACTTTAGTCATTTTCTCAGTTCAGTCTCTAATGCTCCTGATGAAAAATGTCAAATAAACTCCCAGTGTTTGACTCACCAGCTGATGTATTTGGTGGCATTGTAAAAAACTGGGTCTCCAGCGATGCCGAAGCTGATGTTCAGGCCGTAAGTCTGAGGATCTTTTATGAAATACGCCTGAACCAGACGGGACTGAGGGATCTGGTCCACAGACACGAGCTCGGAGTGTTTGCAGGGTGTGGCGTCCGGGTTTGGTTTACGATACGCCATGGGTTTCCATTGATTATAACCCCACACATTGTCGCCATTTACTGGAAACGAGACCCAATTAGACACCTGACAGAAGAGATGGGATAAACGCTTGCTTTATACAGGAAAACATCAACATACATTCATATTCACCATGTACACCCTGGCAATATTAATTAATAGTAAGGAAAATCTGATTTTTTTGGACAAAAAAACAAAACAACAACACTAGAATAAAATTGCATGTGGTTTTTAAATTTTTTTTGTACATATTTGATCCATCAGGATACAGTGTACCTATGTCCCTCACAGACTCACTTTAGTCATTTTCTCAGTTCAGTCTCTAATGCTCCTGATGAAAAATGTCAAATAAACTCCCAGTGTTTGACTCACCAGCTGATGTATTTGGTGGCATTGTAAAAAACTGGGTCTCCAGCGATGCCGAAGCTGATGTTCAGGCCGTAAGTCTGAGGATCTTTTATGAAATACGCCTGAACCAGACGGGACTGAGGGATCTGGTCCATAGACACGAGCTCGGAGTGTTTGCAGGGTGTGGCATCCGGGTTTGGTTTACGATACGCCATGGGTTTCCATTGATTATAACCCCACACATTGTCGCCATTTACTGGAAACGAGACCCAATTAGACACCTGACAGAAGAGATGGGATAAACGCTTGCTTTATACAGGAAAACATCAACATACATTCATATTCACCATGTACACCCTGGCAATATTAATTAATAGTAAGGAAAATCTGATTTTTTTGGACAAAAAAAACAAAACAACAACACTAGAATAAAATTGCATGTGGTTTTTAAATTTTTTTGTACATATTTGATCCATCAGGATTGTATGGCTAATATATTATGATATGGTGAGAACATGGAGGAAAAAAACTTTTTTCAGAGACTCAAACACAGCAAAAATATGCCATTTGGTGCAAATGCTGATATTTATATGATGAATGAATTCTGATGCTTGTAATATAAATATAGCAACGATATAGCAGATACTTGCTTAAAATGATATAAATATCAGTCGTTACTCTATATCTCCAATTGGGGTTGGGCGATGTCTACAAAATTGGCATCGGACGATGTCTAGAGTGAAACATCGCGATGGACGATGACATGACGTGTGCCCGAAGCGTGAATCCTTATAAGGCACGGAAGACAAATGGGTCATTCTACAGAAACGTCCACTTTTCTGTCCCTAGACTTTACAGAAATATTACAATTGAAATACACATAAACAATATGTTATTTGAACAATTACACCTTCCTGAGCTATCAATGTGGCATTATTTTTTTTTATTAATTATATAGAATTCCAAGTACCACAAAATTGCTTGTCCCAACAGCCATGTACAGAGGGAAAGTGCTTTATTTTGAGGTCAAAAACAGGATTTTCTACCATTTAAAATACAAAAGTCTATTCATAACGATCAAATACATGATTTTTTCTACCATTTAAAATACAATGTATTCGTAACTATCATATATATCATGTAAATGACATTAAAAAAAAAAAGCCAAATAAATATTATAAAATATATAATGAAAATAGTGGTCCCCTGGATGTCACTGGTGTTACCGCTTAACAAATGTCTTTTATTTTGGAATAAAAAAATCACACTGTTGACATCACTCGACTACCTCCTTCCCCTTTCCTGAAGATCTATGAAGGCAAGCCCATGGAAAGTCCACTGTCTCTTTTCAGTTATCAGAAATGGTCTCATTTATCTCATGATTTCATATGAAGCTTTTAGTTGACGTCACTGGTGTGACCTACTTTATTGTTAGAGAATTGTAAAAAAAAAAAGAAATAAATAAAGAATACAATTGGATTAAATTACTTCATTTAGAGAGTATACCATGATTGACAAAATGTGGTTTGATACCTAGCAGTAGCCATTTTGTAAAATGCATTTTTCATGAAAATTGTCACTGGTGTTACCTTCTTTATGGGAAACACCAGTGACTCCCATTTTAGATAAACTTAATTCAAAGCTATTAATTTAGTTCTTTGGCATAAAATAGCACTATGATTTTGTGATTCTAACTTTTATTTATCATTGTTAATCCTCCTTTGGTCAGGTATGGCTAAATTGAGTGCAGCTGAGATGCAGCGACTTTACAGACAGCGTAGGGATGCAGATCCTGAACGTAGAGCAGAATACTTGCAGAAAAGGAAACAGAGTTATGTCAGAGACATTGAAACAAAAAAGAGAAAGAGAATAAGCTATTTAAGTGAAAGGGGGAAGAGACGTGAACATAAGGCATGGAGGGTCCGTCAGCAAAGATGCAAGTAGTATTACCATACACTTTGTGTCAGATTGGTTATTTGTGACCTGATTTATGACCCCTGTCAGTGTTGATTGACAGGTTGTCATATGTCAAATGTGTACAAGATCAGATTTATGACCTGATTTATGGCTATCACCGGGGTCCTGACACCCCTGACTGACATGATAGTGGGGTATTTAAATCAAAAGATCAAAACAGATGTTAGATCTGACTTTTGATGTATTTATGACTGGATTTATGATGTTTTTATCTCTTACCTGCACCATGGGGTTTTTATGGCGTTCCTTCCTGACCTGTTGCTACCTTCCAGTCTGGAGGTGTTTGGGTTCTGCCTGATTGTGGAAAAAATGGCTAAGCAAAGGGTGTGTATTGCCACCACACTCTCTCTCTCTCTCTCTCTCTCTCTCTCTCTCACATACACTCACAAACACACTCTCTAACACTCTCACACACTCACACTCGCTAACACTCACACACACACAGGTTTGTTTTTGTGAAAAGTGGGGACATCCCATAGGATTAATGGTTTTTATACTGTACAGACCGTATATTCTATTGCCCTACACCAACCCTACCCCTAAACCTACCCCTCACAGGAGACTTTGTGCTATTTCAGATTTTCAATACACTCCATTCTGTGTGATTTATAAGCGTTTTGAAAAGTGGGGACATGGGGTAATGTCCTGAAAAGTCACCTTCTCCTTGTAATACCTGTCATACCTTTGTCATTATACAAATGTATGTCCTCATTTGTCACAAAAACGCGCACACACACACACACCATTTACATTATCATATGTCACATCTGGATTTGCTTCTCTGGATATTCACACCAATACTCACATACCCTTTTTGCTCTTTCCCTATCACCTATTCTTCACATTCACACACACAGAAGAAGAGACACATACAGTGAGAGAGCAAGAGAGAGGGAGAAACAAGCTAGGGTGAAATGAGTCAGAACCTTTTTTCAAGAAAATATTTTTGCTTTACAGACAACTACAACAAGGGAGGAGACAACATAGGAGAGATGCACAAAGGAAACAAAGGGAGATAAAGAAACTGAAAGACAAGATCATCACTTGGAAACGAAGATATGAAAAGGTGAAGAAACGTAACATACGACTGCAGCGTGCAAATCTTGACAGCCCAGAAGTTAAAACAAAAAGAATTCTTCAAGGTCAGCGAGCCAACACCCAAGTCAGGAAAGCCCTGAAATATCACTTCGCTGTTTTGGGAACACTGAAATACAAATACAAAAGTTTTAAAGACACAAAGTCAAAACAAAGTCTTGCACAGCTGGTATCAGAGAAGCTGATCAAAAAATACAAATGCAAGACATACTGTAAGAAGCTCATCGGTTGTGATCCTCGAACCATCAGAAAAACAAAGCAAGTCCAAGAAACTAGCATACAGAAGGAGACTGTAAAATCTGTCAGACCATTTTTCCTCAGGGATGATGTCAGCAGACTGACTACAGGGAGGAAGAACACACTAAATTATGTTTATGTTCTTTTACTAACTGTTTTCACTAGTTGGCAAATGTATGCCAAATGTAACAATTTAGTAATTGTTAATTATAGCTGAAGAATAAAGGTGTTTGGTCTTATGTATGCCACTGGTGTTACGGTCTGTTTTTTTCTGTCACATTCTATAAAATGTGTCACATGTGACATGATAATAATTGTACATCTATTGAATTCTGCTACACTCAAGAGTTACGATTTAAAGGATTGCATCATTACTTGTTTATAACTGTTTTTCTAATATTTTCATTGTTAAAGCACATGTTTGTGCAAAGGAACTAACATCATTCAGTCACACTTTTAACAAACCTGATTAAAATAAATAAAACATAATCTCCTTATTTGTTGCATTATCATTATTTTTTATGTAACTCTGACTACATGTGCTGAAAAAAAAGATAAATAATATTTCATAAAAACCTTTAAAGTTGCCAAAGAAGTAAGGTAACACCAGTGACAAGAAAAAGGGTACATGCGGTCTTTAAATAAATATACAAAAAATAAAAAAAAATCATTAAGCTGTTATTTATGTGTATTCATAAAGTCAAAAGGTAATCTAATAATGTGGTCTAAATTTAAATGTTAAAAAAAGAAATACATTTTAAGACATCTTGCCACACCAAAAGTGGACGTTTCTGTAGAATGACCCAAATAACGATTCCAAACACCGTGTCTACACCGGACGCGAGCGGTGCGGTGTGACAAAATACTATAGAACCACTGATCTATAATAGAGATTCATTATATATAGATTAGTGTATAGAACTTATTATAATCAGTGATGATGTCTACACTAAATGCGGCGCGACACGACAAATCCCAGACAGTAAACTGCTGCCGCGTTCTATTTATGACGTGCTGACACAAATTTCAAATGACTTTGAACGGTCGCTTTGTGGTGTCCAGTGTAGACAGACTTTAGCTGATGTGGCATGGCGCGGCACGACACGACAATGGTTGCGTCCGGTGTAGACACAATGTAACCTGTTACATTACAGTACATACAATTTCACTTACCACATAAACAGAGTAAGAAGAGCAAAAGTGGACGTTTCTGTAGAATGACCCAAATAACGATTCCAAACACCGTGTCTACACCGGACGCGAGCGGTGCGGTGTGACAAAATACTATAGAACCACTGATCTATAATAGAGATTCATTATATATAGATTAGTGTATAGAACTTATTATAATCAGTGATGATGTCTACACTAAATGCGGTGCGACATGACAAATCCCAGACAGTAAACTGCTGCCGCGTTCTATTTATGACGTGCTGACACAAATTTCAAATGACTTTGAACGGTCGCTTTGTGGCGTCCATTGTAGACAGACTTTAGCTGATGTGGCATGGCGCGGCACGACACGACAATGGTTGCGTCCGGTGTAGACACGATGTAACCTTGCCTGTTACATTACAGTACATACAATTTCACTTACCACATAAACAGAGTAAGAAGAGATGACTGAGGACGATGGCGAATGATTTGCAGATCCTGAGCATCAATGACAAACATCTAATCTTGTAAAATGTGTGGTAAGTACTGCTGCTCCATAGTAGCCTATAAACAGAGTATGTGCGATCGCAAATCTCGAAATTGAAAGTGAAACTAAAAAGCAATCGTGCATTCAAAATCAGTTTCAGTGCCAGGTATAATAGCGGCTCCCTGATGCCCGAAATATATGTAGTATAATTACCCAATGATATACTGCGAGGGAAAATATTGAAATATATATTTTCCTCCATCTCGTATTTATTCCCTTTAGGGGTTCCGTCTACACATCATTTTCTTTCCGAACACGGTATTGGGATGCGGCAGATTGCGAGGGGTGTGGGGGGGGATCACGATGCCGGCTCAACATTGAGATGTCTATCAGCCATCGGCGATGGACGATGGCATCGTCTATCGGCCCAACCCTGTCTCCAATAATATGTCTTAGTAAGATGAGATTTAAATAATTCAAACATATAATGCATTGAAATCCAGTGCTGATTGAGAGATGAACAAATAAACGCTCTGGAGGCTTGTGAAGATCATTCCTCTGCTGAGGAACAGTGAAAGTAAAGCTTCTGGAAACAAACGCTCCTCAGAAGATCCTGATGATCAGATTTGAGACCCACTGATTTTTCAAAAAAAATTATTGATGGAGGATCAAGTAAAGCTGAGCTGCTTCAGTAAGTGTTCATCTGGAGATATTACTGGAGTTATTCTGACGTTTCCTTGATGAAAATCAGTAAATGTTTGACAGCAAAAAGACAAGTGAAGCTCGAGCTGAAGCTGGACGTTTGTACAATTATTCTAAAAGGCCTTTAACTTCATTAAAAAAAGTCTAAACTATCAGTCAGACAGCAGAAGGCATGGAGCAGATTGTGTGACAGGTTTAATTGATCATGTTGATCATTTAGAGCCTTAGAAGTGTGTGTATCAAATATGATGGAGACAAAAATCTGAGACATTGTGCAGGTTTGCTGAAGTGTTTACCTGAAAGAAAAAGGGTTTGTACTCATCGTCTATGCAGCTGCAGTCATAGGCTCTTTCCCGGAATACTGAGTCTCCAACAGACTGAAACTCCAGAGCGAATCTGGAGTGGTTTCCTCGCGGCGTCACGCCGTCCAGCCACACGCGCAGCTGCGAGGAGTTGGCGTTATGACGGAGATTTGGCCACACTTGATCACGACCCACTGACTCGAATGCTGAGAACTGATGATAGAAGAGAAATCAGACACAAATCTACACAGAACCTGCTGTTTGTCACTGTAGTTCTGCTCACCTGCAGACAGAGAGAGCCGTTGAGGAAACTCTCTGTTTTCTCTCTGCCGCACAGTGTTACTGTGTGACCTGTCTGGTTAACAGTGATCTTTGGGTCGGACCAGATGAAGTTCTGGAGCTCGTATGGAGGGTAAAAGCTGGACTCTGGGGTCTGCTGGGGGTCGGCGGTGTTACTGACGTCATCATACTCCCACACCTAAGAAACAGACACAGCAGTCTTCATGCTTTCTAACCTTCATTTCTTATTTATGCTCTTTCGTTCTTTAATGTCATCATCAGTCCATCCATTCATTTATCCATTCATCATAATCTATCCATGAGTCAATCCATCCATTCATCTATTATTTATCCATTAATCCATCCACATTTAAAGGCATCAGTGTCCCAAAGACACAATGGCAAGGTTAGATTAGGCAATTTAGTGCATTTCTAGTAATAATAAAAAGAAAAATAGTTATTGTAAGACTGCATATGTATACATCAAATCTCAACTACTTATTTATTCATGTAGTATTGAGTGTATTTACTCTGGTGAACACTAGTGCCCTGCTGTACCGCACACTGGTCTGCGGCTCTACCCTCAGGCTGCCTGATGAACTGCGGTTGATGAAGGAGGGCCAGTCCACCTGCACTGCTGACTGTGTGCTGTAAGTGTGAACCATCAGCAGTGCTGGAGCTCCATGATTACACAGCAAGAAGTGCAGCGTGTCATTGAGCCCCAGTCCTCGCACATGAACCAGACCCACTCCGGGAGGAAGAACCGACGGAGGAGTCAGACCGGGATTCAGCTCTACAGACACCTGACAAATCAAGAGAGATGAGATATTATATTAGATTGACCACAAATAATTAGAATTGTAGATGTTTCAATTTATAATTGTGTAACAAATTGTATAACTTGTCTAACTCCCATTATGGCAAATTAAAAGCCCTCGTGTCGTTCATGTTCATAACACAAATTAAGATATTTTTTATGAAATCCGAGAGCTTTCTAACCCTTTATAGACAGCCAAAGTTTTGGTGTCACTTTCATTAACACTAAAAAATAAACATTAAAAACCTAAAAAAAAGCCTAATATGTGGCCTATAAACAATTTATATTATGGGGGAGGGGTCAAGCAACACAAGCAAGCAATGCGCAAACTGTGCGCAAGAGTTACGCCGGTGAACTTCAGTCAATTCACTAAAGAGAAAGTGAAAGTAAAAAACTGCCGCTGCATTAACGGCGCATATTGAGGGAAAATATTGAAATATATATTTTCCTCCATCTCGTATTTATTCCCTTTAGGGGTTCCGTCTACACATCATTTTCTTTCCGAACACGGTATTGGGATGCGGCAGATTGCGAGGGGTGTGGGGGGGGATCACGATGCCGGCTCAACATTGAGATGTCTATCAGCCATCGGCGATGGACGATGGCATCGTCTATCGGCCCAACCCTGTCTCCAATAATATGTCTTAGTAAGATGAGATTTAAATAATTCAAACATATAATGCATTGAAATCCAGTGCTGATTGAGAGATGAACAAATAAACGCTCTGGAGGCTTGTGAAGATCATTCCTCTGCTGAGGAACAGTGAAAGTAAAGCTTCTGGAAACAAACGCTCCTCAGAAGATCCTGATGATCAGATTTGAGACCCACTGATTTTTCAAAAAAAATTATTGATGGAGGATCAAGTAAAGCTGAGCTGCTTCAGTAAGTGTTCATCTGGAGATATTACTGGAGTTATTCTGACGTTTCCTTGATGAAAATCAGTAAATGTTTGACAGCAAAAAGACAAGTGAAGCTCGAGCTGAAGCTGGACGTTTGTACAATTATTCTAAAAGGCCTTTAACTTCATTAAAAAAAGTCTAAACTATCAGTCAGACAGCAGAAGGCATGGAGCAGATTGTGTGACAGGTTTAATTGATCATGTTGATCATTTAGAGCCTTAGAAGTGTGTGTATCAAATATGATGGAGACAAAAATCTGAGACATTGTGCAGGTTTGCTGAAGTGTTTACCTGAAAGAAAAAGGGTTTGTACTCATCGTCTATGCAGCTGCAGTCATAGGCTCTTTCCCGGAATACTGAGTCTCCAACAGACTGAAACTCCAGAGCGAATCTGGAGTGGTTTCCTCGCGGCGTCACGCCGTCCAGCCACACGCGCAGCTGCGAGGAGTTGGCGTTATGACGGAGATTTGGCCACACTTGATCACGACCCACTGACTCGAATGCTGAGAACTGATGATAGAAGAGAAATCAGACACAAATCTACACAGAACCTGCTGTTTGTCACTGTAGTTCTGCTCACCTGCAGACAGAGAGAGCCGTTGAGGAAACTCTCTGTTTTCTCTCTGCCGCACAGTGTTACTGTGTGACCTGTCTGGTTAACAGTGATCTTTGGGTCGGACCAGATGAAGTTCTGGAGCTCGTATGGAGGGTAAAAGCTGGACTCTGGGGTCTGCTGGGGGTCGGCGGTGTTACTGAACTATTTTACTTTCTGCCATAACCAAATTATGTATTTTATGTTATAGCTCCTGAACCAAACGTGATAACACAGAAAAGGTGATGTCTACCCTTACGTTTTGATGGTCAAGGATTACAATGAGACCATATACAGCAACATAAACTGTTGAACAGGTGAAGAATTAATGGTGAAATCAGCAATGTGAGAAGGAAATAACAGTATCTGAGCATCACAGTATCACAACATTTACAATAGTCCATATTATGGCGATTACTTTTTTCTTTCTTTGATAATGAACTTTATTCAATAGTACAATAAAAGATTGCATTTATATAGCACTTTTCTGGGTACTCAAAGCGCTTTATATGGAAGGGGGAATTTCCGCAACCACCACCAATGTGCAGCATCCACCTGGATGATGTGACAGCAGCCATATTGTGCCAGAACGCCCACCACACTCCAGCTTAAAGGGTTAGTTCACCCAGAAATGAAAATTAGCCTGTGTTTTACTCACCCTCAAAGCATCCTAGGTGTTGGAGCCATTTATTGTAAAGTTTTACTTGGCCATTGGATGGCACTGTGACACAGTATAATTGTAATACCTGTAACGGTAAATTTACAGACTTGGCCACTGGGTGGCACTGTGACACAGTATAATTGTAACACTGAGTGTAAGAGCCAGGTGTGCGTTGGTAATTGGGAATCACAGTTTTTGACCGCACGGCAGAGTAGCGTGCAATAAGGACTATGATCTTATGCTGTGTCTTCAAGGTATGGACTTGTATTGTACATGTTAATGAACAAGGAACACTCATAGCAAGTTGTTTTGGGACAATTGTTATTGGAGCACAAATAAAGAAAGACATTTGTTTGCATCTATTTCCGCTTGCACGGACTCTGTTTGCACACGTTCTAGAACTTGCTCACTCATATTATCAACGGCAGCGGCTTACTGGAAAGCCATTACACAAAAGTCAAAAACTGTGCTTCATTGGATAAAAGGAGATCGCTTGGATTAAATGTCAATGCATGTGTTTCGACGGACAAGAACGACGCCGTTTGTTTGGGTAAAGGCTTCTTGTTTCTGCACATGAGGACATCATTGCATCAAGATGCCTTTGGATTTAATCCTTGGATTCGACTCGGTGGTTTCGTTTGGATTGTATTTCTTCTGGTTTGCTGCATTTGTCGTTGGATTTACGCTGTGCGCTCGTCTCTGCAGGCCGATCAACGGGATTATAGGTTTGCTATATTTGTTTGTTGCAACATCAAAATGGCCATATGATATTATGTGTGCACATAATCAGGTTAAGCGTAATTACAATCCATTGGTTGCCAGTGGCTTTCTGATTGACTTTGCTTGTGTATGAATTATATGTTTGTTCACAACTGTTTGCAAAATGGAAAATTAAAAGTGTATGAATTATGAAGGGGTTACTGTGTCAAAGCAAAGTTTGCCTAATGTTGAAAACGAGTCTGAAAGAGAAAAAAGACCAGTCAAATTAACAGCTAAAGTTTTGGTAGAAAAACATGACACCTTGCAAAAGTTAAGAAAGACAAAGTTAAACAAGACTCAGAAACTAATAGAGTCAATTAACAATTTAATATATGATGACAAAGAATACAAACCTGAGGTACGTAAACACTTTTTTCTCACTTCTGCTGACTGTCATACGTGGAAGCCGTTTCGGCGGATGACGTAAGACGTCGACGTTGCGTGATAAATGATGAACACGGAAACAAAACAAAACAAAACGCCTTTCACAAATTAGAAGCACAAAACGAGGATTTGTAAAGAAAAATGTTAGAGGATTTCGATAAAAGCCAAGAGGAGACTGGTTTTCCTTTGCTAAAGTAAGGAAACTTTGTTTCCTTTCCCCCATGAATTTCTCAGAGGCGTGCGCACGACGCATACGTCTTACGTCTTCCACATGAACGTCATCCGCGTGCCACAGTCAGCGGAAGTGAGAAAAAAGTGTTTATTACGTTTGAAATATAGATATTTATCCTACAAAAACGCATGAATTCGCTACAGGAGGCCTTTATTCACCCCCCGGAGCTGTGTGAGGGATGTTTTATTATGGATGCGCGCACTTTATTTCACGTCTTCTGAACTGTTAGCAACCAACACCTGCTTACCCCCATTGAAAGGCTTGGAGGGGCCAGGACAATTTTTATTATAACTCCGATTGGATTCGTCTGAAAGAAGAAAGTCACATACACCTAGGATGCGTTGAGGGTGAGTAAAACACAGGCTAATTTTCATTTTTGGGTGAACTAACCCCTTTAACTAATATTTTATTCAATAGTACAATAAAAGATTGTTTTCAAGAATACAATCAGAGATATAAAAAAATAAAATCTCAAGTAAGTGTATTTTTCCTTACATCTCAGGCAGAGTCGGGTAGGTGATATAGTATGTTTCCAATACATTCTTGTTTTCTTTCAACAATGCTCTAACATTACACGCAAACGGCAACGAAATCTTGCTAAGCTGCATCCTATCTGCACCT